AAGGGGAAGCTTTGTCATGATCATCGTTTTAATTCATTAACTTGAGTTTGAAAATCTTCCAGAGACGGCTAGCTGCCCACCCAAATTCATGCTTGCTTTTCTGTAGTGTAGGGTTGCTTCTGGGAACTGCCTGGCCAAGGTTTCCTAACCTTCCTCAGATCTGGGTGGGGTTGTGTGACCAGTTCTCTCCAATAAAATGTGAGCAGTAGTAATATAGGTCACTTCTGGAACTATACAGTGAACAGGTAGGTGTGCCTTTTTCCCATTTTGCTTTCTGGGTGCAAAAGACTCCAAGCCCTGGAGAACAGAGAATCCCCAGGACGACAGTGGTCCAAGTCCCTAAACGACTTAGTGGGAGGCTGCCCACCAACCAGAAACACTGCACTGAGTAACTGCGTGAGTAAGAAAGAAACTTCTACTGCGCTAACCACAGAAATTTGGGGTTTGTACATTACGGCAGCTAGTATTACCCTAATATTAAAGCAGAAAACCAGTGACTGTTCAGGAGGTCCCCACCCCACTTCTCCTGTTCCAGTTCTCTATTGCTGCATAACGCACTATCCGCATTTGTTTAACACAACCAACGTATCAGGCTCCCAGACCCCGGGGGTCAGGAGCTCAGATGGGGCACGACGGGGATGATTCAGATCTACCCCACAGTGTCTGGGCCGCAGCTGGAACGGCTCAAAGCCTGGGGTAAGGCCGGGCAGGGGGCTAACATGGGCACCTTGGTTCCCGTGTCTGGCACTTGATGCTGGATGACGTTGGGACCACAGGGGGGCGCTGTCGGCCAGAACATCTGCGTGCAGCCTCTTCCCATGTTCTCTCCGCTCCTCGTGGTGACTGGGTTCCAAGGGCATCCCCAAAAGCCCGGGTGGAAGCCGTTATCACCTTTTTTTAAATGAAATGTTATTTTGAAGATTTTTATTTATCTTTAGAGAGAGGGGAAGGGAGGAAGAAAGAGTGAGAGAAACATTGATGTGCAAGAGAAACATCAATCAGTTGTCTCTTGCATACCCTCCAACCAGATACCTGGCCCGCAGCTCAGGCATGTGCCCTGACTGGGAATCAAACCAGTGATCTTTCATTTCACAGACTGGTGCTCAATCCACTGAGCCACACCATCCAGGGCAGCTGTATCACCTTTGATGAAGGGTATAGCGTCTTTTCTCCTGGAGTCACATAGATTGAAGGGTAGGAAACACAGACACCATCTTACAACATGAGGAGTGTCAAGCTACCTTGTAAGACCATGTGGGATGGGTGATCTTGTTGTAATCATTTTGGAAAACAATCTGCGACATTTTCTTTGCATATTTCTCTCTCTTTCCTTGTCTTCATGCCCTGTGCTTCCTCTCCTTGTCATTTTTCTTTCCCACTTCCTAACTCTTTCTAACATTCCTCAGCTCAGTTCAATTAACAATGGTTGAGTATATGCAATGAGGCATGTGTCAGATCCACAGATAAAGGCAACACCATACTTCCTTTTCTGCATCCTGCCATCTTTCCCTGGGGTATGGCCATTCCAGCTTAGAGACCACAGCTAGACTGCAATGAATGCTGCATTTGGGGACACATAGATGCAAGCTCACAGCCCTGGCTTTAGTTTCTTGCACTGCCAGTCACTAATAGAGTTTCATTCCTTCATTAAAAATGTCAGGAATTCAATAGAAAACAACACATAACCCTTAAGAAGCTCATGGTAAGGAGACTTTGGGCAATCCAGTAGTCTCAGTTTTCTCCTAGGGAAGTAGGGATATCTTAAAGGTTGGTAGTGAGGATTAAATAAGATAATATGAAAAAAAATACATGGTAGGTACTCAAAATTGGTACCTACTAATTCACTGTAGGACTATTTGCGATAGCAAAAGACTGGAAAGAACTGAACTGATTATCAATATGGGACTGATGGAAGAAACAATGGTACATCTATACACTGGAGTAATACACACCTAGAAAGAGGGAGGAAGAACATACGCATACACTGCTATGGAATTATCTCTAGGATATATGTGAAATAAAATGAGCGAGCTGTGGGAGTGGGGTAGGGGTGGGGGTGAGTTGGTGAAGCACAAGGGATTCCTTTTAGGGCCTTGAAACTATTCTCTGTGAGAGTATAATGCAGGACACTACACATTTAGCAAAACTTGTAAAACTTTACATTAGGAAGAGTGAACTTTAATGTACATAAATTTAAAAAATCATTTAGGAGGTCAAGAGATCCAGACAGTGCAGATTTTGAAAAAAGAGCGGAACTGTATGGAACGATCTCTCTGGAGGTGCTGGAGGAAAAGGGTGCTGACCTAAGTAACTCAGGAACAGAGCTGAAAACCAAAGGCAAAAACCTGCACGTGAGAAGTCTCCTCTAGTTGTTGAAGTTGTTTCCCGAGGGTGTGTGGGTTCATTGCAAAGCCACTCTACATGTCTACTGTTAAGCAAATGTATGGCTGATGGTGAGAGCCAGATGTCTCGTTGGAGTGAAAGATTATAGCTAAGCAAGGGGACAGGGGGTGCGAGCTAGGGTGGGAAATGACTAGAATGATCCAGGTGCCAGGTGCATTAGAGTTGTGAGACATCAGTATGCATACATTCAGATTACACATCGAAATAGATAGCTGTGTGTATGCGTGTGTTATTACATACATACAATATACATGCATACATATAGAGGGGTTAGGATTCATTCACACATATTTTTCCTGCTTTGTCAGCTCAGAGAGCCTAGAAGCAATGACAGTTAATTGGCCACCAGCATGTCCAGTGCCCAGATTTTTGTTTCTAACACCATTTTCCAATGAAAGGAACCAAGGATCCTTGGAGAAATGTCTGATTCTCAGTCTAAAACATCTTGTGCCAGAAAGTAAGCAAGTGCTCAATAAAACACATGATGGGAATTGTGTCATGGGACAGTGTAGCTAAAGTGGGAACAATCTGAGTAATAAAATAAATAAAGTGGTATTGGGTTATAACTCAAAGTATAAAATAAGTACCCACAAGTCCATATTTATATAAGTAAGTGGCTCAATAAATAAATGGGGGAGAAGAGACAAATCTGTGCAGAAGAATTTCAAATAATTTATACAGATAACCTGCCTTAAGGAAGTACAGCAAAACTCCCCACTCCTTAAGTGTGGACAGTGCATAATGACCGCCTTTCAAAGAGCATGCTGTGGGAAAGGGGGGAAAGAGGAACTTTACACACCTAAGATGCATAATGATCAAGATTAACATCAACAGTGACAATTCCTGTTGACGGCTTGGACCCTTCATATGATCTGATGAGAATGGCATTTTTACCTTCGTGGTCTTCCTCCCCAAGATCTGCAACCCAGTCTGATAATAATGAAAAGCATCAGAGATATTCCAATTAAGTATTTTATTTTACAAAATATGGGGCCAGTACTCCTAGTCATTAAAAACAATAAAAGTCTGAGAACCTATCACAGGCAAGAAGAGCCTAAGGAGCCTAAGATAGTGTCAGGATGGCTTCTCAGCACAGTTGTTCCCCGGACAGAACACTAAGGTGAGGTGCAGGCACTGACAGACACCCATCCCAGCTTAGGGGGACGTCTGTCTGAGGGTGTAGTTATAGCACTTGCCAATTTTCCTCAATCTTCCTCACCCTTCGTGACACCACAAAGGGTAATTCTTGACCTGACAGTGCCACACGGACAACAAGCTCCAGGCTGGGGTTGCAGCCGCCATTAAGAAACTAAGTTCTGGGAACAGACTTTGTTGGCACCCTTACCCCACCACTGAATTTTTACTTTGGGAAGATTTCTCAACCTTTCTGGGCCTCTTTTCTTATCACCTGTAAAGAATTGATAGGAATTATCATTGTAACCCTTACCACCATATTGTTGATAAGGGGCAAGCAAATAAGATAGAGTATGTTGGGAGACAGGTCTGGTACCTTAGCGCTTAGATCTCGGTAAATGTCAGCCTTTGACTAATGTACTTTGTATGATTTATTTAGTATATGTATTTTCTCCCGACAGAAAATTTTTAAAAAACCTGTTAACCAGGTATTAGAAAATTGAAATGACAAAAGTGGGCGAGTTCTCACAGAAGTCCTCACTACAGGGAGCAGCTACCACACTATGTTGGAGACTCAAATGAAGAAGTTTGAGTTTTTTGTTTCTTTTCTAAATTAATAGCTTTACTGCAGATAATTTACATACCATAACGTTCATCCACTGGAAGTGGAAGAATGTTTCAATGACTTTTTAGTAAATGTGTACAACTGTGCAATCATAACTACAATCCAGTTTTAGAAAATTTCTAACACCTTCCAAAATTTTCCCAAGCCTCTTTGCATTCCATCCTTGTTCCGACACATAGCCCCAAGTGACTGATTTCTGCCTGGATAGATTTGCCGAGAATTAATTTCATTTAAAAGAAAATACACTAGTAAAAGGTCAGGCAAAATAGATGCTATTTAGGAACAGACTTAACTTTTTAAAATTATAACAACTTTATTTTATTTTTTAGAAGACATTATTTATTTTTAGAGAGTGAAAGGGAGGAGTAAGAGGGGAGAAACCAAACAATTTATGGTTGCCTCTCCAAGGCCCCCTGCTGGGGACCTGGCTGGCAACCCAGGCAGGTGCTCTGACTGGGAATCGAACCGTGACCCTTTGGTTTGAAGGCCGTCACTCAATCCAGTGAGCCACACCAGCCAGGGCAATAACAAGTTTTAAGTTGTTTAAAAGTTGGTTATAGTTTTACGGAAATCATCATGAAGCAAAATGTAACAAAAAAAAAAGATGAGAAGAGTTTCCATTTTAGGGCGGATAGGACTGGGGACAAGGTTCTAGAAAAGGAGAGCAGAGTGTGACCCCGGGGTCAGCAGACCTCGTCCGCCCCTGCCTCCACCTGAGGCTAGTGAGCGGCTCACCAGCACGAGCCCCGCGGCGCCCCTTCTCGCGCAGGCGCAGGGACGTCGCCGGCGGGCCCGAGGTGGGCGGGGTGCGGAGCCAGAGCCAGAATTCGCGTCGATCGCGAGCGCAGAGCGATTGCTTCTGTCTGTTGTGTAGTTATGTTGTCAAACAAGCGAAGAGGCAGCGGGAACTGGGGTCGGGGCCTAGCTCGGTGCTGGTCGTAGTGGGCTATGGGGGAGCCCGGCTCCTTGGTTCCGAGAGACTGCCGCGGGGGCCGAAGCTGGTGCTTGCGGCGCGTGGGGATGGACGCCGAGTGGCTCCTGCTGGAGGATGGAAACGAGGTGAGCGAGAGGCCTCGAGGGGTGGGAGTTTGAAGAAGCTGGGCCTGGAGAGGTCCGAGGCGCCTGGGCCCGAGGGATTAGTGGAAAAGGGGGTGGGAGCGAGGAAAAGGAGAGAAAGGCGAAGGGCCTGCAGGACAAAATGGAGAAGTGCGAGCGGTTGTGGGGGAAAGGGCCCGGGGTGGGAGGTGTTTGGGGGAAGTGGGGACAGTGTGGGAGGAAAGATGGGCCTCCGGGGCGAGCTGGGGAGGCTGGGTGCTGGAGGGAGCCGGGTAGGGGACGTGAGGACCGGCCGGGGTTTCGAGGGGAAGGAGGCGTCTGGTCTGGGAGGGAAGTGGGCAGCCTCAGTTTGGGTCTCGCGGAGCCCAGCGGATCCCAGCCTCGGCGGAGAGCGAGAACTTTCTCGAGTTTATTTTGAAAATGGTTGCGAGTTTTGGGTCAAAAGACTCAAACTTTAATGTAAAAATGCCTTCCTTTCCAATTTTTGAGGAAAATGGGTATTGTGGGGTGGGCCACATTTCTCCTGTGAGTCTCGGTTATTGCTGAGTGGTATCCCCTGAGCTGGCTGGGGAGTAGGGATTCAGAAATATAGAGGCTGCTTATATTGTTTCCCAGTGCGGTCATAAATGCCAAAAAAAAAAAAAAACCAAGAGGAAAGGTGAGACGGTTTCTTTTGGGGGACGTTTGGAATGGGGGGTGGTTCCAGAGGAGGGTGATGGAAGAGAGAGGAGGGGGAGTTAAGAGTGCAGTCAGTTTGTGGAGAGCTGAATTAGGGACAGCTGGTTGTGGCAGGGAACCATTTGGGTTTGGGAAATAATTTGTATGAAAGATAAAGAAACATTTTATTATGTATGTATGTTTGACTAATATTTCCTGTAGACTATATAATCTCAATTCCGTTTCCCACGTGTGTACTGAGTACTTATATTGTTTAGTGTACCATAAGAAAGCCAGAAAAAGACCTCTGCCATCAACGAGTTTAGGCTTGAGTGGAAAAAAGAGGATTTTATACACAGTGAAGCCGTCTGAGAACATCAGGGCAGGCTGTATGATCAAGTGCCAAGATGTGGATTATTGAGTGCTAATTTAGAGCAGTGGTTCCTCAATTCAGAAGAGGGATTCGGGTCTAGCTTTAAATGTTGCTAGGTTAGATGAGATGGTTAAAAGGCTTACTTGTACGCTGTGATTTGAAGAACATCAGGAAGACACCTCTGCCCCCAAATCTCTTTGTCTCCAGGTGTTAGTACACAAAGTCTGCATTAGACATTCATTCTTTTAGTGAATGAGTACTTACCTTTCCTTGCACTTCCCTTTCCAAAATTATACACCTTTGGGAAGTTTCACAAATGAAGATAGTAACACCTGAATAATAGTAACCATGTTTTGTATAAGGTTTGCACTTTCACATAATTGCCTAGTCTGGGCCCTACACATATACCATATTCCCACACACAACCCTTTAATGTACTTAGAAGTCAAGTGTTAACTCACTCCTTCAGATTAAATTGCTGTGGATTAATTTATTACATCTGAATAGCTTGGTAACCCTATGAGTCTTGGTGGGAGGAGTGGAGGACAGAAAGAATTAAAACGTCTGCAACAAGAACTAAAAGGCTTGCTTTCCTGTACATATTTTAAACTGTTGGATAATTTTACTTGGAGAGAGACCCACAGAAGTCAGACTGAATGGTGAAGGCACGCAGGAGGATTGGCTTGTCTCTGTTCTATTGTGGTGGAGAGGTCTCTCAGGCCAGGCTGTGTGTAAGGTTGGGGGTCTTAGGAAGTACTTGGAGCATAGCCTGCAGTATGTATGAAGAGAGGCCTGAGTCAAAGCCAAGAGATGAAGTCTTACCTATTGGTACTGCTCCCAAACCATAGCACAAGCTGGTGGGCACATGATTTGAAAGGTGTGTTGATGTCATTTGATTATAACAACAGAGTAAGATCAGTTTCCTGCCTTCCCAGTTCACCTCAGTCTCAGATTTCACAGATAAAATAATAAAACACGGTTCCTCTCATTTCACTGTAGGGAATACTGTAGTAAATTGTCTGTCTGAATGTGTGTCTTTAAATCTCTTAAACCAGAGTGTTTTCTGAAAAAAAATATTGCAAATTGGCTAGTACCTAGCCCTATAAGTATTTAGGTCTTTGTTATAAATAGAACAACTTCCTGCCAAGATGGAGGCGTAGGTAGATATACTGTGCCTCTTCGCACAACCAAAAGAAGGACAACAACAAATTTAAAAGCAGGAAACAACTAGAACTGACAAAATCTAACTGTATGGAAGTCTAACAACTGAGAAGTTAAAGAAGAAACATTTATCCAGACCGGTAGGGGTAGAGACAGGCAGCCAGGTGCAGAGGACTCGTGGCAGTATGATTGGAGGACCGGGCAGGCAGCAGCTGGAAGAGCAGGGTGGGCGGTCCCACATTTGTGTGCAGATAAACAGGGAGGAACAACTGAGGAGTGAGACACGCCGTGCAACCCAGGGTTCCAGTGTGGGAAAAGAAATCCTCAAAATTTCTGACTGAAAAAACCTGGAGGGTTGAGGTGGCGGAAGAATCTTCCAGCCTCATAGGAGAACTCACAGGGTCCTAGAATGTGCACAAACCAACCCACCCAGGAATCAGTACCAGAAGGGCCCAGTTATGCTTGTGGGTAGCAGGGGTAGTGACTGAAAGTCAGTAGAGAGCAGAGCAAGCAGCATTGTTCTCCCTTGACCCCCTCCCCCATATACAGTGCCAAAACGCAGTGAGGTGGCTTGCCCCACTGTGGTGAACACCTGTTTCCACCCCTTACTACTTAACAGGCATGCCGAGACAAAAAAAAAAAAATGGCCCAAATGAAAGAATGGATCAAAGTTCCAGAAAAAATACAACGAAGTGACGAAGAGATAGCCAACCTATCAGATGCAGAGTTCAAAACACTGGTATCAGGATGCTCACAGAATTGGTTCAACTTGGTTGCAAAATAGAGGAAAAAAATGAAGGCTATGAAAAGTGAAATAAAGGAAAATGTAAAGTGAACCAACAGTGACAGGAAGGAAACCAGTACTTAATTCAACTTCTTTCCTCAGAAGGAAGAAATAAACATTCAACCATAACAGAATGGAGAAACAGGAATTCAAAAATATCAGGAGAGGCTTAGGAACCTCCAGGACAACTTTAAACATTTCAACATCTGAATCATAGGGGTACCAGAAGGATAAGAGGAAGAACAAGAAATAGAAAACTTATTTACAGACATAAAGAAGGAGAACTTCTCCAGTCTGGCAAAGGAAATAGACTTCCAGGAAGTCCAGCAAGCTTAGAGAGTCCCAAAGAAGTTGGACCCAAGGAAGCACACACCAAAGCACATTATAATTATATTTCCCAAGATTAAAGAGAAGGAGAGAATCTTAAAAGCAGCAAGAGGAAAGCAGTTACCTACAGAGGAGTTCCCATTAGACTATCAGCTGATTTCTCAAAAGAAACTTTACAGGCTAGAAGGGACTGGAAAGTATTTCAAGTCATGAAAGGCAAAGACCTATGTCCAAGACTGCTCTATCCAGCAAAACTTTAATTTAGAATGGAAGGGCAGATAAAGTGCTTCCTAGATAAGGTCAAGTTCAAGAAGTTTGTCATCACCAAGCCCTTATTATATAAAATCTTAAAGGGACTTATCTAAAAAAAAGATCAAAACTATGAACAATAAAATGACAACAGACTTACAACTATTAACAACTGAACCTAAAAAAAAAAGCAAACAACTAGAATAGGAACAGAACCACAGAAATGGAGATCACATGAAGGGTTATCAGTGGGACAGTGGGAGGGGGAGGATGGGGGAAAAGCTACAGGGAATAAGTAGCATAAATGATCTACAAAATAGACACGGAGAGGTTAAGTATAGTATAGGGAACGGAGAAACCAAAGAACTTACATGTATGACCCATGGACATGAACTAAAGGGGGAGAATTTGGGTGGAAGGCAGTGTGCAAGGGAGGAGGGGAATAAAGGGGGAAAAGTGGGACAGCTGATTATAATAGTATAATCAATAAAATATATCTTTAAAAAAGTATTTAGGCCTCTGGGAAAAGCCATAGTATTTTCATTTCCCCCTTTTTTCTTCTCATGTGTTTGGCTTACATGAAACTGCACTAAGAGGGTTGGAAAAAGGGAAAGGATACTTCTAGAATATTTGCTGGTCTTTTGGGAAACAGTTGGTGTCATTTCCAGGAGGAAAGGGTTAGGATTAGTGAAGGCGTGTAAGGACAAGATTATCTTGTAAGGACAGGACAGTGGTCATGAACTGACACCAGTGATGTCAGTTCAGTAAGCTCAGAGCCTTGCAAAGTTGTTGTACAGAAAATGGAAATAACTCCAACCTATGAGTTGGTGGTTTGTTAGCACTCAGTTCCCATGGGAAATTTTGTTTTGTGTTAACAAGTGATGCTGGGATATCCAGATCACTGCAGACCTTTAGCCATGGTTCACTGATATAAATTTTAGGACCAAACAGTGAAGGGAAGGACAAAAAAAGAGTTTGTCCTTCCTTTTCTAGATCCAGAGTCTATAGGAGACAGTTTCAGAAAAAGGCACTCATCTCCCTTTTCTGTACTGTTTTTCCCAGGACACTCCCAATGGCAGTCTGGCTGTCTCCCCCCAAGTATTAAAATGGAGTGTAGAATACTTTCTCTATTAGAAATAAAGCTATCTAAATGGAAATTTCTGCTGAATATGGATAACAGATACATCCTTAAATAGTCCATTTTTAAAGGATATATATGTATATTCAGAAGAACTTCCATAGTTAATGGAATTTTGGGCAAACTGTCAAAGAACTGAAAAACTTTGGACTTAGGGTTTTGGTAGAGGTGGTCACCACAGAATTTTAAAGGCAAACAAATCAGATTGTGAACGGTCCTGGTTACTTGCTGCTCCATTGTTCCCAGTGGTAATGACCCAGTTTCCAACTTTTGGCCTCAAAAAGACCTGTCTTGGAAACTGGGAGGACTGATAAGCAGTATCTGCATTCATTCACAGATGTTTACTGAGCACCATGCCAGGTACAAAAATACAGCAGCACACAAGACGGATAAGGCTCCTGCTAATGAAATTTATGTGCTGGTGTGAAGGAGACAGAAATAAGCAAGCAAGTTAGTTTTGGCTTGTGAAAAGTGTGTGCTAGTAATAGAAAGAATGCAGTGGGGTAGGACAGGGGAGTAGAGAGCAGGTGGCAATTTCAGATAGGGTCATCAGGATAGGCCTCAGGGGAGATAAAACTTGAAAGATGAGAAGGAGCCCATGTAACCGTGAGAGGAGAGTGTTCTAAGCAAACAGGTGAAAAGACCTTCAGGTAGCAGTGGGTATTTATGATAATAGCACGAGATAAGACTAAAGAGCAGAGGGGTTTTGGACGTTCATGGCCTTATAAGATATGAGAGGCAGCTTGGATCATTGGAGAATTTTAAGGAAAGAGAAATGATCTGATTTAAAGTTTTTACATTACCACTCCAGTTGCTGTGTGAAGAATAAAGTGTAAGGGGACCAGCACAGGAGCAAAAAGAGCACAACTGGTGGAAGCCAGGTTGTTTTCCCCCCAAGGACATGTTTGTTAATTTTAGAGGAAGAGTAGGGTAGGGAGGTGGTGGAGGGAAGAGAGAAAAAGAGAGAAAGAAACATCAATGTCAGAGAGAAACATTGATCAGTTGCCTCTTGTATGCACCCTGACCAGGGATCAAACCTACAACATAGGTATGTGCCCTGACCAGGAATTGAACATGTGACCCTTCAGTATACAAGACGATGCTCCAACATACTGAGCTACCCACCCAGGATGAAAGCCAGGTCGTTTTGACTGTGGTAGTGACCATAGAGATAGAAGTGAAGAGATTTAGGACATACTAAATTAGAGACAGTAGAATTTGTTGGTGATTTTTAAAAAGATTTTATTTATTCATTTTAGAGAGGGTCAGGGAGGGAGAAAGAGGGAAAGAAACATCAATGTGTGGTTGCCTCTCACACACCCCTCCACTGGGGACCTGGTCTGAAATCCAGGCATTTGCCCTGACTGGGAATTAAACTGATGACCCCTTGGTTCTCAGGCCGGCACTCAATCCACTGAACCACAGCAGCCAGGGCTGAATTTGCTGATGATTTGAAAATGGGTTGTGGGACAGAAGAATCAAAGATGGCTCCTGAGTTTTGGGCTAAGCAGATGGTTGGATGGTAGTGTCAGTTACTGAGATGAAAGTCTATAGAGGAAGAATAGATCAGGGCAAGGAGAATCATGTGGTCTTTGAGGGACTGAGGAGGAGAGGGATGATCCTGAAAGATTTTCAAAAGGAGCGAAGAGGGCAGCTTTTAGAAGACCACAGATATTTGACATAATGTTCCCAGGTAAGGTTGTGGTATGGGTTGTGGTATGTGGTATTAAAGAGGTGGCTTGTGCACTCAGAAGAACAAGGAAGTAACACTAAGATTTGGACCTCAGGAGAATTTCATTTTCTTCATTGACAAGGTTATTATCAACTAGACGAGTCCATCAGGAAAGTATGATAGATGTGAATCTGCTTCTTTGCGACCTTTTCCAGGGGCCCTCATGCTATCCTTGTGGATGAGATGGAAAATAGGGACACAGTGCAGACTCTGTTTGAATTTACAACTGGTTAAAGGGTGTATCCAGAACGTATGGTAGAATGTTTACTAGGCTTTCCTGAGAGCTTTGCCTTTGGCTACGTCCTCTTTCAGTCTTGTATCTATGTCTTGAATGAAGGTACAAAGGCCATCATATGACTTTGGTGGGTGACTCAAAGTTGGAAAAAGTAATGAGTATGTCTGATGGCAGATTAAAAATTCATAAGGGTCTTGATAAGCTCATGTAATAGGCTGAACTAACAAGATGAAATTTAATAGGAAGGTCTTGCACTTGAATCCAAATTTACCAACTATCAAGTATATGGGGCAGAAGACACATGAGTTAGCATAGCAATTCTTGGGGGAGGGTCAGGCCACGAAATTTAATCATTCCTAAGCCTGAGGATACATTGGCAGTATGATAGAACTGCTGTGAAAGCAAATGCAATTTATATGCTCCAGTGATAATATTTAGAACTAGAAAAGTGATACTTGGTTTCAACTGTGTAACAGATTAAGTTTATTTTTCCTACTATAGCCTTGAGGATAGCAAAGACCCATTAGGATAGTGAAGAGACTCAAACCTATGCCATGAGAGGTAGGTTAAAGTAACTGGGAACATAAGGTCAATAAAAGGGAAGACTTGGTATACACTGTAGCACCCATGTGGGAGAGGAATTGGAGATTTTCTGATGATGTCATGGCAGAGCCAGGGCCAGTAGATGGAATTTATAGTGAAAAAGATGCCAAGTCAGAGCCATTAAAAAATTGGACAAACTATCTTGTGTAGAGGCCATGGTTCTTGGCATTGTTTAAGACGAGTTGATGAGGGTGTACAGAAAGAATTCTTCCACCTCATTACTTTTCAGGTCCTACCAACCCTGACATTCCATGAGTAAATCCATTCAGCTGTCTATTCTTGTCATAGCTTCTTGCCTTTTTCTACCTGGTAGCACCCCTGGAAGCTGAAAGAGGAGACTGCCAATGAGCTGCATGGGTTTCATGGGAATCTGGTTTCATAAGTCAGATAACATAAGTCAGGTATAACATGCATATACCACTGGCTGACAAGACTGTAAACCTTTTTATCAGCACAATGGCTGATGGTGTCCCTTGCATTGCTGTTGTCTTCCTAGGTGACTTTAGGACGAGGACTTGGTGTTACATACCAGCTGGTATCAAAAACCTGCCCTTTGATGATTTCCCGAAACCACTGTGTTTTGAAGCAGAACACTGAGGGCCAGTGGACAATTACGGACAACAAGGTACAGGAATCCATAGACGCCTAATGATTTTTATTGAGTTTTTGTTTATTTTTAAACTGCTTTTTGTGGGTATATAGGTAATACATGTACACAATTTAAAGATTCAAAGATACATTGTCTCACCTAACCACCCAGTTGTCTTCCCAAGAGACGGCCACTTGTGCATGCTACCAGAGATTGGATTATGTCAAAGCAATTTCAGAGGACTTGAAGTTAGTTACTCTGGGAACACCTGAATTATGGCAGTAGTTCTTACTCCAGGAACTAGACTAAGTTACTGGGGAGGATTGGCCCTTTGTAACTTGAAGGTCCAGGAACCCTGGGAATCTGGTGAAGATTCTGGAGCACATCTGTGGTTCGGGGCATGGGGAGGAGGGAGGAGCCAAGCTTACTGCACCTCGTTCCTCCTCCTCCCCACTCCTGTCAATCAGAGCAAACCATCTTCCTTAAACCTGTTTTATGTATTGGTGTTCTGAGGATCATTTTCTTTTAAAAAAGAGCTTTTCCGCTTTAAAATTTTGAAAAGCATGAATACTAAGGAACGCGAAATAGTGTATAAAGCCTAGAAATTAGTGCCTAAAGTACAGATGTACAAGCACCCAGGAATACAGTGAAAGTAAAGACTATGAGATAAGAGTAATTCTAATGTAGGCATTTAAGGATTAAATATAAAGTAAATATAAAATGTCTTCAGACATTGTTTTAAACTGCTCTGGTTGGAAGGATTTTAAAGATAACTGTTAGAAGGAAGTATATTAAAATGGTTGAGATGAATTTCTACATGTGGAGAGGGTTACTCCCACACCACCGAGCAATGCTTGGGACAGCAGCTGGATGTCCTACCATTCTGACACTATCTACCTGGAGATAGCATCAGATCCCACAAGTAAAGGACTTAATCCTGCAAGACCACCCTCCACTTCAGACCCTGATATCACGCAAGCCCAGGTTAACACCCGTGCTTCTGATCAACCAGCCACCTATAGGGGTTCCAAGGACCCCTTCCTTAGACTTCAGATGCCAGTTGCAAGTCCAGGTTATTACTTGTACTTCTGATCAACTGGCTGTAAATCAGAGGTTCCCATGACCACCTACCCCTTTGGATTCAATTAATTTGCTAGAGGGACTCACAGAACTCAAGGAAACACTGACTTACATTTTCCAGTTTATTATGAAAGGATAGGAGGGCTTCTGGTCAAGGTGGCGGAATGCATAAATTTAGTACTCGCATACTCCCACAACCACATCAAAATTATGACTGTATTAGAACAGCCATTATTCAGAACCATCCGAGGTCTAGCTGAATGGAAGTCCTACAACTAAGGATATACAGAAGAAGTCATAGCAAAACTGATAAAAGGGACTATGGAACAGGCTGATCCCACACCCACATGTGGTAATTTAAAGTCAGGAGGTATCTCTCAGCTGCAGAGGTCCCCCGTGAGGAGTGAGGGGTCCCAGCCCACACCAGTCCCCCCAGCACAGGGTTCCAGTGCTAGGAAGAAAAGTCCCCATAACTTCTGGTGGTGAAAACCGTTGGGGATTGTGGTGAGTCCCAGGCAGTTCCTTTTAAAGGGCCCACACACAGACTTTCTTGGACTTGCACTCTTGGAGCTCCAGCACTGGGACAGTAGCTTGAAAGGCACCAGGGATACATGGGGAAGAACTGAGTTCAGTTTCCTGATGTCTGGTAATGGTAAGAGCTGGAAGGGCAGCTTTCTCCCAAACAAAAGTGTGGGCAGAGGCCATTGTTCCCTTTTTAGCCCTTCCCCAACAGAGCTTGTAGGTAGGACCTATATGTGAGTCTCTATCAACTTGGCTATCAGTGTTTGCTCCACCTTGGTGATTCTGAGGGCCTGCTCCACCAATTTGCAGGCCCACCCAAGCTGTTCCAGTGGCTTTTCCATACGAATGGCCTGTCTTGGCTCATGCTTCAGATTTTTCAAGCATCTGGCCTTTCCATGCCCTGAACCTCTCACTAGGTGGCCCAGGCTTGGCAGTAGTGGCAGCCAGCCTTGATTTGCAACTTGGCCTTTTCTGGGCATTTCCAACCCCAGTACAAGTAGCATTGATCTGCAGGTTGCTTTGGTGGCCCCTGGCAGAACACAGATAGTGGCTGACCTTGATCTACACCTCTTGGGAGGCTCAAGAGCCAGTGTATTTGGTGGACAGCTTCAGATCACATCAAAACACCATGCAACCACCTCCACAAATGACACACTGAAGGGGTAGACTCAGTGGGCGCAAGAAGCCCACTGAAGTAAGTCTTGTTCTGTGCTGTGGGCCCCTGTACAACTGATCCTCCACAGTGGTCTCAGCCAGTCCTTGCTGCTTGGCCTGGGAGTAAATCCCTCCCATTGACGTGCCAACAGCAATCAAGGCTCAACTAAGAAGAGTGTGTACACAGCGCACACAGCGGGACACACCTAGAGTGCTCAGCTCGGGTGATCAGAAAGGCTCTGCCACTGGGCCCTTCAGGACACCTATGACATACGGCCACTCTACCAAGACCAGGGGACATAGAAGCTCCACCTAATACATAGAAACAAACACAAGGAGGCTGCCAAAATGAGGAGACAAAAACATGGCCCAAATGAAAGAAGAGGACAAAAATACCAGAGAAAGAACTAGACAAAATGGACATAAGCAGTCTATTAGATGCAGAGTTCAAAACACTGGTTATAAGGATGCTCAATGGACTTAGGGGAAAAGTAGATGAACTTAGAACTTCAACAGCATAAAAAAAGGCCATGGAAACCATAAAAAAGAATCAGTCAGAAACGAAGGCTACAGTAACAGAAATGAAGAATAATTTACAAGGAATCAACAGTAGAGTACATAAAGCCAAGAATCAAAACAGTAATTTGGAATATAAGGGAGCAAAAAACACCCAATCAGAACAGCAAAAAGAAGAAAGAATCCAAGAAAATGAGGATGGTGTAAGGAGCCTCTGGGACAGCCTCAAGCACACCAACATTTGCATTGTGGGGGTGCCTGAAGGTGAAGAGAGAGAGCAAGAAATTGAAAACCGCCCTGGCTGTTGTACTCAGTGGATTGAGCGCGGGCCTTCGAACCACACGATCACAGTTCAATTCCCAGTCAGGCACATGCCTGGGTTGCAGGCCAGTTCCCAGCAGGGGACTCACAAGAGGCAACCATACATTGATATTTCTCTCCTTCTCTCCTTCTCTTCCTCTCTAAGGATAAATAAATAAAATCTTAAAAAGAGAAAAAGAAATTAAAAATTTATTTGAACAAATAATGACAGCTTCTTTAACCTCGTGAAGGAAATACATGTACAAGTCTAGGAAGCATGGAGAATCCCCCAAAAAGTGAACCTGAAGAAGCCCATGCCAAGACACATCATAATTAAAAATGCCAAAGGTTGCCTTGACTGGCGTGGCTCAGTGGATTGAGTGCTGGCCTGCAAATGGAAGGGTTGCCAGTTTGATTCCCAGTCAGGGCACATGCCTGGGTTGTGGGCCAGGACCGCAGTGGTGTGGGGGCGTGCATGAGAGGCAACCACACACCAGTGTTTCTCCCCATCTCTTCTTCCCTTCTCTCTAAAAAGAAATAAAATCTTAAAAAAAAATAAATAAATAAATAAGCCAAAGGTTGAAGACAGAGAGAGAATCTTAAGAGCAGCAAGAGAAAAGCAATTAGTTATCTACAAGGGAGCTCCCATAAGACTGTCAGCTGATTTCTCAACAGAAACTTTGCAGGACAGAAAGGATTGACAAATACTGAAAGTGATGAAAAGCAAGGACCTACAACCAGAATAACTCCACCCAGCAAAGCTATCATTCAGGATTGAATGACATATAAAGAGCTTCCCAGACAAGGGAAGGCTAAAGGAGTTAATCACCACTGAACTAGTATTACATGAAATGTTAAAAGGGTCTTCTTCTTTTTTAAAAAGGATAGGATTTTATTTATTTATTTTTAGAGAGAAGGGAAGGGATGGAGAAAAAGAGAGAGAGAAACATTGATTGTGGTTGTCTCTCACATCTGCAGCTGGGGGCCTGGCTTGCTACCCAGGCATGTGACCTGTCCGGGAATCAAACGGAAGACCTTTCGGTTTGCAGGGTGATGCCCAGTCCACTGAGCCACACCAGTCAGGACTAAAGGGTCCTCTTTAAGAAGAAGGGGGGGGAAAGATACAAAATATAAGCAATAAAATGTCAGTAAATATATATCTATTAGCAATTGAATCTAAAAAACCAAATAAACAAACAAACAGAAACACTTATAGAATGTTTTGATGGTTGCCAGATGGGAGAGGGGTTAGGGGATGGGTAAAAAAGGTAAAGGGATTAAGAAGTATAGATTGGCTGTTACAGAATAGTCATGGAGATTTAAATACAGCAGAGGGAATATAGTCAGTAATATTCTGATAACTGTGTATGGTGTCATATGGGTACAAGATTTATTGGGATGATTACTTAGTAAGTTATGTAATGTCTAATCATTGGGGTATACACCTGAAACTAATACGAAAATGTCAGCTGTAATTGAAAAAATTAAAACTAATTTTAAATTTAAAAGAATGCGATAAGGAATGCAGATGAACATCCAGTTGGAAGAGATGTTTAGGGCAAGGCATGTGGAAGTGGGTGTGGAATTTCACACCCTGTCTAGGCGACACTCTCCCAGCACTTCCATGTGTTCAGCAACCCAGAAGCTCCCAGAACCTGTCCTTTTCTTGGTTTTAATGGAGACTTTGTTACAGAGGCATGATTAATTAAGTGTGGCCATTGTGATGAATTCAGCCTGCAGCCCTTCCACTCCCAAGAGATGGAGGGGTGGGACTTAACAGTTCAGCCCCTCTAGCAACCAGCCCTCACTTTTAGGTGACCTAGAGACATTCCCAAAGTCATCTCATTACTGTAACAAAAGACACAGTGCTCTCTGTCACTACTTAGGAAATTTCGAGAGTTTTCAAAGCTCTGTGCTAGAAATTAGGATGCAGTCCAAATATATGCTTCTTGTCATAATTCACAATATCACAGGTATCCTGCAGGTCTGCCCAGCAGTCTCATTTTTCATGCATAAAACTTGTAGATTTAAGCTCTTGGAGAAAGTACTTTCTTACACTAAGATTAAGTTGTGTTGGCACTGTGTTGAAGGAGTGGCCAAGTTAACTGGTTCAGTACTCTTGGCAAGGCCCTGTGAGAAAAGAAATTGGCACTGAAAGGGGGACCTTACAGATGATGTAGTTTAACCCCTTCTGGGAACAGATGAACCTGAGGCCCGAAGAGATAAACTGACTTGCTCAGGGCCTTCCACATAACAGACTGGTTGAGTGAGTGAGTAAGCCAGGGCTAAAGCTCACAAGTCTCTACTGTACCCCATTGTCAAATACCAAAGGACCCATGTCAAAGCTCACAAGTCTCTACTGTACCCCCATGTCAAATACCAAATACAAAAGGACACAAGCAGTTTGCTATGCTGGCTGCGTGCTTTAAAAACAATTAATTATGCATACTTAAGGCATACTTGTAAAGTTTTAAAGCCCCAGCAATAGCTCACATCAAAACACCTTAGGGAAGGATGTTTTCCTCATCAGAGTTAGCTGTTTAGTGCTGAGGTTACAGTATTACAGAGGTGCATTGCCTGCCGCTTCTTTCTTTGATTATGTGCAATGTAGATGTGTTCCATTTATGGGATAGCAGATTTTGAGAGTTTGGGAAGCCACTGGCTGACTGATTTTAGTGTTCCTTGAACGTCAACCTCAGGGACACAGAGGCAGCTGGTGCCAGCAACAGATCCTGGCAGTGCTCCCCAGGTCGCTCCCCAGTGTTTGCCTGGCACCTTTCTTCTAGGGCTGCTGTCGCGAGACTCCTCTTTCAGGTCTCAGGCAGAGAAGATAGAGAAAAGGTAGGCACCTGATTGTTCCGAGTCTTTCTGGTTTGAGCCTCTTAGCTTTGATTCAGTTTGTGAGATGACTGAATTTTGAGAGAAGCTATGGCTGAATTATTTTGATGGAGCAACTATTCTTACAGGTAAGCTGCTCCCTTCACTGTTTTCCCCTTAGCAGATGCTCCTTTTTCTCTCTGGCATGATGCCTTACCAGCCTTCTCCTGATGAAGGATTTGAATTTCAGGTGCAGGATATTATTGTTATGGTCTCATCTGAAGTCATTTGCCAAGTCGTTTTAAAGGTGGATATTACTAATAACTCAAAACTCAGAACTACATTACTTCTTTTAAAAAATTTTTTTATTTATTAGAGGGGAAGGGAAGGAGGGAGAGAAACATCAATGTATGGTTGCCTCTCATGTGTCCCCAACTGGGGACCTGGCTTGCAACCCAGGCATGTGCCCTGACTGGGAATTAAGCCAATAACCCTTTGGTTCACAGGCCTGTACTCAGTCCACTGAACTACACCAGGCAGGGCCATTCCTTCTTCAAAGATGGTCTCTCTTACATGCTGCAGAGGCCAGAAAGAGAAAGCTTAAGGACAAATACAAAAAATGCAACAAATGCAATTTTGGTTTAAAATTGAGTTAGAAAACAACCCCAACCTTGGAGGACTGCTTATTTGGTACACAAATGTGTGGATGGGGCCTGGCCAGGTGGCTCAGTGAGTTGGAGCATTGTTCTATGCACCAAAAGGTTGCGGGTTCCATCCCCGGTCGGGGCACATCTCTAGGTTGAGGTTTCAGTCCCCAGTCAGGGCATGTACAGAAGGCAACTGACCTATGTTTCTCTCTCACACTGATGTCTCTTTCTTTCTCTCTTCCCTCCGCCCTTCTCCCTTCCTCTTTCTTTAAAATCAGTTTTAAAAAATACATGAAGATGGCTGTAGTTGTGTAGATTTTGGTTGAGTAGCTCTCCAGATAGTTCATTCTATGTATTAGTATCCAGTTGTTTTAGAAAATCTGTTGTTTCAAAGTCACAATCTGAAATGCTTTGGTGTCCTAGAGGCTCAGCAGATCATTTGAGCCTTTCTCACTGTTCCCCTCCTATCACACTGCTATGCACCTGGTACTTGGTGACTCCCGCCTTCGTCCTCCTGCAGGCTCTGATGTCGAATGTCTCTGGTGAGTTAAACTATGTGAACAAACCTTGGTGCTTGGGGCAGTTCAGCTTCTGGTCTTTCAGCAGCTAGAGCAGTGGTTCTCAACCCAGTTTACAGTTTTTTTGCCCTTACCTGGGGTATTTTTAAAGCATACTGATGGTGGCTTTGGCTGGGAAGTTCATCTGGTTAGAGCATCATCCGAATATGCCAAGGTTGCAGGTTCAGTCCCCATTAGGGCACATACAAAAACAATCGATGAATGCATGAATGAGTGGAACAACAGATGGATGTTTCTCTCTCCCTCCCTGCCACGATACTCCCTCCCCTTCTCCCCCTTCCCCCCCTCTTTAAAATCAATAAATTAGAAGGTTTTTTTGAAAAAAAGAAAGGCTTGAACAGAGTTTGATTTATTTAAACCATTGTATTTGAGACCATGTTCTGGCCAGTATTTGATGGTTCTTACACAGCCATGCTGTTCTCATCCTTCTCTGTAGTCACCTTGTAAACAGACCTGACTCAGGCTGCGGTCTAATTCATACCACTAGGTGTCACCAGGAAGTGATGAATGGGTAAACACAGAAGGACCCTAGGATAAAATGTGATGGGAAAAACTTGAGAGCTTATTTTTCATATATAAAGGGCCCTGAAGGAGGCAAGTTGGTGCAGAGAATCTAGTGGGCAGCTGCAGTATATCTTAAAAGTTTGCCCCAGCTTTCCTCTATTCTCTCTAGTCTTGGGCAGCTTCCATAACCTTCTTCCTTTATTTATCTAACCTTGTTTTTGCCTTAGACATCTTTCTGAAATATCTGTACCTTGGCATTAGGTGGCCTTCTGTGTCATATTACTTTTCCTGAAAATCTTTTCCTGTGTATAATTAATTCTCATATAAAATTGTTTTCAAATAAATTCTCCCATCCTCTATCCCCCTCCTTTGTATTTTCCCACGCATTGTCAGCAGAACTGATCACTCCTCATACATAGTTCCTCGGGCTGAATCTGAATAGAATGGTTGGGAGAAATTTAGTCAGATAAGCCAGGATAGGCCCATGGCATTGGGTTAAAGCCAGTCTTTCTGTAAATTGCTCTCTCTATATATACATGTATATCTGTGCTCGGCTTTTTCTACCTCTCCCCACTCTAGCCGAATGATATAAAACCAGAAACAAGGGCCCAATACCAAAACAGAGCTGAGCTCCAATCTCTGCTCCCCTTCAGCCTCCGTGCCTTGTGGTCAAGCCCCCAGGCTTTGTATTTGGGTTGACCAGGTAATTTTTGTAGCTAAAAGTAGGTATTTACAGTTACCAACATAAACATAAGTCTTAGTAACAATTCAGCCATGAGCTTCATCTCTGGTAAGTCCTAAAGGTAAGTCCTTGATATGGGTTAAAACAACCACTTGTTTCTTTAGACTCTAAATTCTGCATTTGTTTCAAGTGTTTTAGAGCCCACCATCCCCATTTAGCATCTCTTAGCTAACCCAGCCCCACATACTAATCCATTGTGTTTATAGGCGGTGCTGTATAGCCCACATTTGCATATATGTACCCTCATGTTTTGCTTCCCAAAGCTGCTAAAAGTTGCTTTCATGTCTTTCAATTTTGTACTCAGTATATTTACCTTGAAAGATGCTGAGCATAGAATTGAAGTGATTGTTGATAAATTGAACCAGAACATAATAATAGTAGAAAACACTTAATATGATGCTTACTATGTGCCAAGCACTTTTCTAAGTACATTACTTTGTACATATGTGATTTTGTTAAATCCACACAAACACCATGAGGGAGAGACTATTATTATTTTCTGTCTTAGAGATGTGGTAACTGGGGCATAGAGAGGTTAAGAAACTTGTCCACAGTCACACAGCTATTAAGTGATGGAGCCAGATTACAGTCAGGCAGTCTGACTCCAGGCTCTATGATGTTAACCTCTAAACTATGATTCAATTCAAACCATAAGGTAAATATTTATTAAGCATTTATTATATGTGAACCACTGTATTAAATGTTTTTACATGTGTTTTCTCATTTATTCCTCACAGGAATCATTGAGGTAGATACTGTACTATCCCTGTTTTACAGACAGAAGTGGGGCACAGAGAGGGTGAATAATTGCTGACGGCCATGTAACAATAAGCCCAAGGTAGTGCAGCAGGTTAAGAACCCAAGTCTGTCTGAGTCCAGAGCTCCAGCTCTTAACTACTATGTCCTGTTGCCCATGGACCGCTGCTATGACCCGGGTCAGGTCCCACCTGCAGTTTGACCCCAGGAGAAGTATTGGTACTCTCTTTAGTGGTTCGTGTGTACTGGAAAGGGCTCCGCTCATTCGCCAATGTGCTCAGGGGCACATCCAGAGCCAGTGGTTGCCTGGCTTTTCTGGTCATGCCAACCTTTGGACCTCATCATCAGATGCCATTTTCTTTACTAATAGCAGTGTTTTTCAGTCCTGGCCATTGCTTCCAGTTTAGGTCAATAAGAGCTATTAAATTTTTGTTTCTTTCAGTGCTACTGCATTTAATTGAGTAATTCATCCACCGGTAATAAGGTGATTCCTGCTTGTTATATAGGCAGTTCTCTGTGGAGGCATGAATGTGAAATATAGCTAAAAAGCCAAATGCTGTTTGAAGAATGCTGTTTCTAAGGATGGTGGTTTATGAACCTTTCTTTTCTATTTGTTCTCAAGGGTTTTCCTTTTGAAAAGGCAGAAGGTTTTGCAGCAGCAGGGGAGACATTCCATTAAGAGGAGGAAAATTATGAAGCTTCGTTTTTCTTTCCCTTTTTCCAGAGTTTGAATGGTGTTTGGCTGAACAAAGTACGTCTCCAACCTTTAGAGGTCTATTCTATCCATAAGGGAGACCACATCCAGCTTGGGGTGGCTCTGGACAATAAGGAGAATGCAGAATATGAATATGAAGTTACTGAAGAAGACTGGGAGAAGATACATCCTTATCTGGCCTCGATAAGTGACCAGTTGATGGAAAAAAATAAGGGCTTGAGAACTAAAAGGAAATGTAGTTTGGATGAATTAGAAGCTCCTGAAGCTGAAGGCCCCTCACATTTGAAATCCAAAATAAATAGAATGTCTTGTGAACCTGGTCAACCACTGAAGACACACGGGAAAGGTGAAGTGGCCAGCCAACCCTCTGAATACCTGGAACCTAAGCTGACTTCTCTTCAGCCAGGTGAGCACACCACAGGGCCTCATGATTACTCGGGCCCCACCGAAGTCCTGGAGCTTCAGCAAAAGGAGCAGAAAGTCTCAGACCCATTAGTATCTCAGAGCAGGTTAGAGCTCATCAAGGTGACCATGTCTAGGATTCTGAAGCTCAAAACACAGATGCAGGAAAAACAGGAAGCCGTTCTGAATGAGAAAAAGCAGACCCAAAAAGAGGACTCTAAGAATATTGTGCAAATGGAGCAGGAATTGCAGGACTTACAGTCACAGCTCTGGGCAGAGCAGGCCCAGCAGCAGGCCCGAGTGGAGCAGCTGGAGAAGACTTTCCAGGAGGAGCAGCAGTATCTCCAGGTACCACCCAGGAGGGAAGGACAGGAGGGCTGCTCGGGTGGGCAGGCCCTTTGTGAACCTGTGGCCAAGGCTCTGTTTCTGGGTCAGGGACCAAATGCTGAGCGTGAGGGTTGGGAGATGGAATGGGAACAGAAAACTTTGAGGTAAGAGAAGGGGTTGAATCAAAGGTTAAGGCTTCATCATGATGATCAGATCAAGAACCAAAGGTGGGGTGCCGAGATGGGCTAAGGTGACAGGCAGTGCCAGGCCCGGGATGTAACTGATCTCAGGATGTAAAGTTGAGGCATCTCAGGACAGGTAAATTCAGTGAGAGGTTGGATGAAGGTCAAGATGCCACAGAACCACAGCACACTCCATTTAAACCAGTAGTTGCCCTCAGTTACTTTTCTTTGCTCTGTGGTCCAAGTCAAATCACTTCGCCGCAAGGCAGGTACAGGTCACCTAGTTACTCTGTCCTTGATGTGCCTGGCAACTTGTTAGCTCTGTAGCTAACCTAAGAAGTGAGAGGCTACAAAGACAGAAAATGCTTCTCTTTCTATCCTGAGCAGCCGGCATGGGCGGGGACAGGTACAGCATGACGTTATAAGCCACCTTCCATGGTACCTGTAGTGGGAAGGTACAGTAATGACTCTCTTAGCTGTGCCAAGATAAGGCCAGATGTGTCCCCATCCCTGAGTCATCTCCATAGATGATAAGCTGTTGTACGAAGTTCCAGTCTGATCCGGGTTCTTACTTAAAATGTCAGTTCCCACTTGGCAAGAGCCACGTGTTTTACTCCCACCTATTTGCTCAGGCAGGTATTGAATGTCAAGAATTCCCCACTGTTGACTTAAAGCAGTGATTTTCAACCTTTTTCATTTCATGGCACACATAAGCTAATGACTAAAATTCTGTGGCACACCAAAAAATTTTTTTGCCAATCTAACAAAAAAATAGGTATAATTTTGATTCATTCACACTAGATGGCTATTGTTGTATTGGCTGTTACCATTTTTTTACTTGACAGTCTAAGGGAAAGAGGTCAGTGCCCCGAGTAAATAGGCAGGTGTTGCTTGTTTTATAATTCTTGCAGCTCAACAGTGTGCCAGGGCTCACCTGTTTAAAATTGCTGACTTAGAACTAAGATGGGCCAATTAGGATCGAAGTGAGTAAACTTATCTTTTGTTTACTTTATTCAGAGTAATGAACAACCAGTAGTGTTTGCTTATTTCTGAAAAATTTATAAATTTCAGAGATTAAATAGACCTTTCTGAGGGGATACACTGCTTACGTGTACCTTTTTGATTCCCTTATCTAGCCGGGGCTAGTTCTTGAAATTAATACAGGGAGGTCATCTCTGCATTTTTGTTGCCACCTTTCCCAAAGCAGTTAGTGTCTGGTGTGTTCAAGGACAAGAGTTACTGTTAATTAATATTTGTGGCTGCTTTGGGCATGCTTCAAAGTATAGCTGTAAAATCTTTTCCCTTACCACCTAAATGGTAAAGAAAGGCAGAAAGGACTGGTTTAGAAAGTTTCTCCAGGTATGAGAGGGTCATTTATAAGTGACTCATAGTATCCTGTCCTTTATTTATTGGCTGCATTTCCCTCTGCCACCAAGCCCTAGGAATTCATCCTGTCCTGATGACTTGTTCAGAAGCTCGTTAACCCTTGCTGCTTTGCACAGGTCCTTTTTTTTTTTTTTTTGTTAGCACACATTGCCTGATACTATACTTGGGTTCAGGTGGTTATAAAGATGCATAATATATGTATTATACCCATAAAATCATCCTAACAGTTTTAAGTCAATATATTTAAATTAGAGAACAATTTCAAGTTGACATACTTGTATTAAATGGGTAGATAATTCTTAATTCTTAAAGTAAGGAGGGAAGGGCCCAGAGCTTCTTTTTTTTTTTTTTAAGATTTTATTTATTTATTTTTAGAGAGGAAAGGAAGGAGAGAAATAGTGTGTGGTTGCCCCTCGTGAGTCCCCTGCTGGGAACTGGCCTACAACCCAGGCATATGCCCTGACTGGGAATTGAACTGCGATCCTGATCCTGTGGTTCGCAGGCCCACGCTCAATCCACTGAGCCACACCAGCCAGGGCAGGCCCAGACCTTCTTAATGGATGCCGGGTAATGATGATTTGGAAGGCATTATGTTGGAGGGGGCCGATGGAGGAAATACAGCCTGAGCTCAGGCAAGGTGCGGGGAGGAGCAGTTAATGGGTTGAAAGTGGTAGAGAGACTCAGCATGAGGGACAGAGGGGCCCAGAATCAAGGGAAAGAAGCCTGGAGGAGCTTGTGGGTGCCAGCCTAGGGGGTTTTACCTGTGTTTAGGTAGTTGGTTGCTCAGAACCTTTCATCTTACCTTGTTTTGGAAGTAACAGCACTTGCAGTAAAGGGTTGTTGCCCAGAGTTTCTCCAGAAAAACCTGAGTGGTGGCTTAAAAGTGACAGCCCTGAGGTGAACAGTATTTGAGCAGTTAACTCTGCTTTTATCCTTCCTGCCAACAGCTTGGAATAAAATGAGAAATTTTCTTCCTGCTTCCTGCCCCCTGTTGTTTCCAGATGCTCATGCTAGCTGGTCTGCTCTGCTTGTTGCTGGGTTTTTGTTTCTTTTTTCCCCTGCTGACTGGGAAACCTTCCATTTTGTTTTTGGATTTGTAGGGTTTGGAGAAAGAGCAAGGAGAAGAGAACCTGAAGCAGCAGCTGGCCCAGGCTCTGCAGGAGGTAACTTATCTCTTGCCATCGTGGGCTGTGGGGTAGCGAGCAGCCAGGCTTTGCGTGGCCGCTGGCTGCCTCTGCTATTTAGTGCACACCTCCGCAGCATCTCCAGGCTGTAGATAGAGCAGGTGGCAGCTGCTCACACCATCAGGGCAGGGGTTGGAGCCTCACAGATGTGCCAGACCTCAGCATGAAAACTTACATCTTCACCTGAGCAGAAGCTGCTCTAGTGAAAATGGAATGGAACCTGTAGCAATTAGGAGGCTCTCTGGGGAAATGTCTGCATTTCCAGAAAGGTGAGGGCAGCAGAGGGGAATTGTGAGCTGTGACTTGTCACCACCAAGGCCTGCATGGCCTCCACTCCCTCACGAGTCCTGAGCTGTGGCCATCCAAAAACCATTTGAGAATGTTCCAACTAGGAACATTCTCACATTTTAGGTCAGGTCGAGAATGTGCAGTTCAACAGTCAGCAAGACATTGGTTTACTGGAAGGGCAGGGCTCACAGGAATAAAATTCTCCTAAAAGATAGCCTGTCATTTATTTTGTTTAATTTGATTACTTCTCTCTGATTATTTTTATAAACTTCTTTACATATTTAAAACTTGCTTTGTCTTCTCTCTTTTATGCACTAAAATTAAAAATTTGACCTAAGTTCAGTCATGTTAGTGGTATGGTTCATCTGTCCTTAAAAAAAGTGAGCTCTTGCATTAGAATTTGTTTGGGGTAATTTGTCCTTATAATTCTTTTATCACATACCTCCCTCCCAGCCTTCTGCTGTGCTGACAGTCACATAGTAGTAAAAGCTAGGGAGATGCCTACCTTGATTTTCTTGAGGGGTACACAAACAGCTTTGGAAAGAACTAGGTGAAAATTAATTTAGTCTTTTTGGAATTGTATTTTCTAAGCTTGTTTATTTCCTAGGGTGGGAGCGTAGGCATTTTTCCCATTTAGAGTAGTATTAAATTAATATTCAGTGAGTGTTTTGAAATTGACTGGGAAAGAGTAAGGTTCTGCTACTTAGAAATCCCTAAGGGTTCATAAGTTTTTGCACCCATAACTCCTCACTGTCTCCTGAGACAGCTGGGAAGACACACTGTGCTTTAGCGTGAGGTGCTCGGCCAGTCTCCATTCGCTAGCCCCAGGTGAGGTACTTTTGGGTCATGGTTCCAGAACAATACGCCCAGGGATGTACTGCTTTCTCGGCTGACACATGGCTGTGTGTTGGTCCACCTTCTTGGTCCCTCTGAAGCTGTTCCTTTTCATTTACCAGGCCATTATAACAACCTGTGTTTATATGGAGGTTAAAAACTTTTCTGAATGCTTTCACGTTACTTTATTTTATCATTCACACTGATGTGGGAGGGACCCCTGTTTCCCATTTTGTAGGCACAGATCTAAGTAGCAGTCAAGATGAATGAGTACCCAGGCCTTCCTATGCAACTGCTTTTCTCAAGAGACCACATATTTCAAAATTTGTTTCTTGAGTAATGTCTTCAGAAATAGTTACCTTTACTCCACCTTCTTTAGAAAAAGGATTTGAGATGAGATTTAAAGTATAAGCTATACTTAAGCATGAGGCAGCTCAGAAATTATGTTTCATGGAAGGGGAACCTCTTGACGTTCGGGTAGGCAGTTGGACACAGCGAAGGAGCTGCCAGCACTTGGGCGTGCCTGGTTGCAGAACACACAGGCAGGGTGTGGGCAGCATTGGCTTGTGAGTGTGCAGTGTGTGATTGGTAGAATGAATAGGTTAAAGGTCTCTCTTATTTCAATGAAAATGATTATCTAGTTTCCCTGAATCCCATTTCTCCCTGGTTATTTCTTAAAAGCCATTCCTAGTGCCGGGTAGCCTCAGAGTTACTAGTTCTTCGAGCACTGGATTTTAGAATCATTTGGACAGCTTTTTAAAAAAATACATATTCCTGGGCTCCAAGGGAAACCTACAGAATCAGATCCTCAGGACGGCAGTTCTTCCGTCAATTTACATGGCGGCGAAGGTTGGGTTATTTCCAGTAGGATTATAGATTTGATGGCCTCCCTCCCTGTTTGTCCCCTTTCCTGAGAAAAAAAGGTATCAGGTAAGTGAGATGTCCTGAGGAAACAGAGGCATTTTTTTTAAATTGCCGGTCTATTAATTTGTTGAACTAACACCACCAATAGAGGGAGGGACGGAGCAGACAAGTGCAGCTTAAAAGGAAGATGCAGTGTAAGCTCGTCTTGAGTGTGTATCTGCTATGTTCCTGCAGCACTGGGCTCTAATGGAAGAGCTAAATCGCAGCAAGAAGGACTTTGAAGCCATCCTTCAAGCCAAGAACAAAGAATTGGAGCAGACCAAGGTACTAGCAAGAAGATGAAGGTTTAGAATTTGGTTAGTACATGCAACTCAGCATTTTCAACAGTGCAAGGGTTGCTATGGTGAATGGAGAGAGAGAATATGTCTGTTCCTGGCCTCAGGGGAAATAATCTGTAAAATTACTCAGGCTTATAGAAGGCTCTGCCTGAAGACAACATCTGTTTCCTTCCCTCATTCAGAAGCAGAATGCCAGGGAGAAGACACTCATCCTGCAGTCCAGTCTGGTGTCCGTGGTAGATGCTCCTCCAGTGCATCCCACTGACGCAGGCTATGGAGTGGTGTAGTCAGACTAAACAATAGTGTGTCCTCATACCTTTAGGTAATTATTTCCCCACATCAAATCAGTGGAATTCTTAAGTTAGGGTTATAAACTCAAATGCCCAGTAAGTTCAGACTGATAATGGAATGAGTAAAGTGTCCTATGAGGACAGAGGTGCACAGGAAAGAGATCCTTGCCCCCAACCTCCACCCCTAGAGGTAGCTCTGCTTTGCTGTAGCCAGTTGTTGCCGTGCAGAAATGCAAGCCCAGTGGTGTCAGAACTTTCCACACAAGATGGAAATCCAAATGTTTACATGAAAGATCTCAATTTTCAAATATTGGCAACAAGTTCAGTTTTTTGTTTGATCTTTCAGTACCATAAGGGCCGAACTAAACAAGTCTGTAGGCTGGCCAGTCCACAGGTCATCAGTTTATAACCTCTGACCTGAAATTAACACCTAGTCTGACCACCTCTCTGCCTAGGCCTCACATACCGACCTGGAGCAGAGCACAGAAAGGAGAGGCTCTCTTTCCCATTGGTTTAATGTCCTTATACTCTGTTTAAATCATGTGATACCTTCTTTCCCTTCCTCCAAGAAACCACCATGTTTTCTTTAAAAAATTGGCTAATCATAAGTTTTCAGGGAACTTGATTGCAGTTAGAATGGGTTTGGACCTTACTCACTGCTGTAAGTAGTCTGACAGTCTGTGCTCTGATTAGAAGAGAAAATAAAAGATGAAAAATACATCACCTGTATACCCTGAATGTCATTTCCTCTCTCCCTCAGGGGCTCCTAATAACTTTCTTTTGGGGGGCATAAGGTGCTAACTTAAATAAATGTCTGCTTCAAGAAGAGCACACCTAAGATGATCCCTAAGGCCATCTGCAAGCAGTCTGGTCCCTTGGGGAAAGCACAGGGAAGTTGTACTGCAGACGTCTGCAGGAGTGGGGACTGGCAAGCCTAGAGTTCGGGGCCTGAAGATGCTTCAAGAGGCCACCATTCCAGCCTCCAGGGAGCATAGGAATTGTCGCTATTTTATAGAAGAGACAGCTACAAAGAGCACCATGGACTTTATACATTAATTCAAGTTTCCTGCCGCTATGGGCTATTCTTTATGACTTTTTTGTCCAGTGAGTTCTTGGTTTGGAGGATGATTTTATATCACCTCTAAACTGCATTTCACTGTGGGATACTTAATGTCTCATTCTAGAAGGTCTTGGATGGTTGGTGTGGTTAGTATGCTACCTTCAGTTTTTCCCATTTAGTTAATTTTGGGAAGGAGACTAAAATTACAGTGCAAATACTGAAAAAGCAGAGAGAGGACAGAAAGGAGACAGTGCCCCACCTTAGAAAGCAGTTCTGAGAAATAGCAGCCCTTGGGGAAAGTGCTTTATTCCTTGCGTTGCTCCGCCAGGATGAATTTTTAATTTAGACTCCTTCTGAATTCTATTCCAGAGGATTAATACTATACTCCCTGTCCTGTTTTGCATTCTTGTCGGTTCTCCTGAATGACAGCAGGAATTTTGTGTCTTTGCAGGAAGAGAAGGAGAAGGTACAAGCACAGAAAGAGGAGGTTCTTAGCCACATGAATGACGTGCTAGAGAATGAGCTCCAGTGCATTATTTGTTCAGAATACTTCATTGAGGTAATTATGGGCATCAGGAAGAGTGGCTCCCAGGGCCTCATCGCTCTCCCGACCCGAGTGGAGTCTCAGCTACCCAGGCTGCTTCTGCTGTAGGGGAACGTTCTGAAGAGCTTTTCTTGCAGGAACTTCTAGCTGTTTGACTACAAAGTAGCCCCTAGAGGTGGCCACTTCTTACGTGTTTTTGTATAGTCTTCTTTAACTTTACTGTTCTTTTTCTTATTTTATTCTTATTTATTTGATATAATTCATATTTTAAGCTGTGATAAAGCCTTTATCTCTTTTTTGTTGGGGTGGACACAGGGCCACATGGCATTAGATTTTTGAAGTCTCGGAGTAAAGCCGCTCCATAAAGCTACTCTTACTCTGAATGGGCTTGGTGCTGAGGGGTGTGTAGTGCAGCCTTTGAACAGGGTGGTAAATGCCGTTGATATGGGGTGTCGGGAATTCAGCACACAAGTGGAACACATTTCAGGGACTCGGGCTCCTTATGAAAATGAAACCTCTCTCCTGGGTTACCCTGTCATATTTTTGCACTCTTATTTTTCAAAAATCTTACCATTTGTGACCAGTTCATCTTATACCACAAGTTTAAATTCAAGTTGTTAAATGACATTGCTTTTCAGATTCCTTCACAAAGGAAAATGCAGACTGACACTGCTTCCTTTTTTCTGGTGGTCTTTAGGAGGTTGAGTCTATTAGCCTTCTGAAAAATCTCTCCTGAGCAGACCAGTTTTTTTTTTGCTCTGAATCTACTTAGATTTCAGGTCATAAATTTCTCCCATAATTTCCATTCACTTGATTCCCTACCTAGGAGAAGCTCAGTCATTGTTGTCTTGACAAGACGTGCAGACTTCACTAGAGGAAGATAAGGAAAGGGGCTTGGAACCCGTGATGAGTCGGCCAGCCTGGAGCATCTGCCCAGACAGACCAGGCAGACAGGCTGACCTGTGCTTTGTTTACTCTACCACACACCACCTGACCTTTCCTACCGGTCACCTCTTAAAGTAAGGGTTGGAGAAAGGTTTCATTGTAATCAGACAGGTTTTTAGTACTGTTTATTAGAATTTACCTCCTATAGTAAACATAATGTCTTCTAGTTGGCTTTCTGGGCTCACCTTGGCATTTGGGAAATAAATGATTTCTGTTATTTTCAACTGCCCTCCTAAAAGCAGGAATGGACTTTTGAGCCTCAGAAAACTCTGTATCTTAGTGGGTGCACATAAACAATAGTAAAGAAGACAGTGGTTTATATCCCTGGGAATGAAAGGCTCGCTGGCAGACTTCTGGTTTACCCAGAAGAGCCCCTCAGATAACACAGCTCCTTCTGCTTTCTCTCTTCTCATAGGCTTATTTACTCAGGGGTTCAGGCAGTCAGTGAACCCATTGCATTTTTTCCATTTCTTTTCTTTCTTCCCCAGCTTTTTTAGTTGCCTTTTAGACTTATTTTACTTTTTTTGTTTTCTTCCAAAAACAGATGATACCTCTTACCATTCTGTATACTTGAGTTTTCAACGTGTGTTCCCCTTTGTGTATAAAAACTGAGGTCCCAATTCACCACTAACAAGACATACATTTGTTTTTCATAAGAGTTAGTGAGGTATTTGTACCAAACATGTGTGCGCTTACTAGTCCTACCTGTGTCCAAAGGTATTTGTTTACAAGGCAGCTAACCTATGTTGGCAATAGCCTGAGTTGGTGGCATAGAACAGACAAATCGGCCTACCCGGGGCCTGCATTTATGAACTCAGAGATAATAAATCATCTAACTTGAAGCTTAGTTTCCCAACCCCAAGGATGATTCTGGTGCCTTTGTAAGCTCTGTAAGTGTGGTTGTGGTTAAATGTCCACTTGACCTTGTCTAACTTTGAGATCACAGCCACCCTGCGGACGTAAGTGTGACGTTCTGATGTGTGTGTTCACATTGCTGTTGCAGGCTGTCACTTTGAACTGTGCCCACAGTTTCTGCTCCTTCTGTATCAATGAATGGATGAAGCGGAAGGTTGAATGCCCCATTTGTCGGAAGGACATCAAGTCCAAAACCCCCTCCCTGGTTCTGGACAACTGCATTAGTAAAATGGTAGATAATCTGAGTTCAGAAGTAAAAGAACGACGAATTGACTTAATTAAGGGACGAAAAGGTGAGTGGGCGTGTGCCCTCAACGAAGTACTTACAAACTTGGGCAGATTTTTCTGGTTGGGGAAGAGTCAGATGACAGATTCTTGAGCTAAAGAAGAAGTGGAAGAAATGGGGGAAAGTAAAAAAAAGATAAAGATAATGAATAATGAATGTGTGAGCCCCGGCCAGGTTACTTAGTCAGTTAGAGTGTCATCCTGACATGCCAAGGTTGTGGGTTTGATCCCCGGTCAGGGCACATACAAGAAGCAACCAGTGAATGCATAAATAAGTGAAATAATAATCAGTCAGTCTCTCTCTCTTTCCCTCTCCCCCTTTCCTCTCTTCTCCTCCCCCCTCCCTTCCTCCTCCTCTATAAAATAAAATAAAATAAAAAGACAGTGAGTGTGTGAGAAAAGTTGAAATAGAATTAACTAAGTTGCTGGCACAGCAGGAAAGAAGGAGGCTTAAGTGCAAGGGCCTCCGTTACAGGGGTAAAAAAAGATGTGATTCGAACACACAGACGGCTTGCTGTACTGGTGACTGTACGGCGCTGTTGTTTGGGACAGTTTAGTTGCTGTCCAGGGGTTGCGGACCTTTTGGGTTGGGTGTATAGTACAGTCGGTTATGAACTGGATGCGTACAAGTCAGAGGTTCATCGAATGCCTAAAGGAAAGGCATGTGCAAGTTCTCTGTGAGAGAGTTACAGCTGAATTACACAAATTGGGTATAATGTTAAACCAAAGAGATCAATTTAATCCTACTGTGTTATCACTGGGGACCCTGATACATTTACCCACAAGTTTCCCAGTCGGAAGGGAATTTGGATAGAGATTGGGGTGGGGGTGGGTGAGCTTCCCTGAGGAAACACACTTTCATCGGGAATAGCTGCTTGTTTAACCAAGTGCTCTCGTTGCACCTGCAGCCTGCTGTGTGGAGGGTGGTAGAGCTACTCCGCTTAAGACCTGAGTGCCCTTGTGGCAAAAGGACGTGTCCTGGGGCAAAGCACGAGGAAGTCAGTGGATTCGAAGGATTGGTAATTGGGCAGGGATGAGAGCCTTCACAGGTGTTTCCCACTGCCTGGCCGTTGGTAATATGTATCTTTGGATGTACTTTCCCTAATCTCAGAGAGGCCGAAGGCTTAAAAGCCACGCTGCTGACAGTAGGATCGTCTGTGCACTGCTTCCTTTCTCCTAGCCTTTCAGCAGATAGCAGCCACTTTGAGTAGGACCAGGAATCTGGTGCTGATTTGTGAGCGGCTGTGGTTTGAACCCGGCCCTCAGTTGGTGACCCAGAGCAGAGGCAGCAGGCCTGTCGCAGAGCCAGCGGGGCGGTGCTGAACAGGGAGTGTGCTTGAGCCGTTTATACTCAAGGAAGACATTCTGACCTGTAGGAGGGCGCGGTGGCCCTCAGGTGGTTCTTTAGAACCAAAGTAGTTTACCCTTTCTTCACAGCTGTGTGCTGCTGGGTTTTCTGACAAGTCTTAAGCCCCAAGAGACTTTTTACCTCCCAAGAACCAGTTGATTCTGGCAGAGTCCCATTGCTCTTCCTCTCCACCTTTCATCATTCCATAAGTTCTTATAGGGACACTACTACGGACCAGGACAAGGTGGTAAATAAGGCACTGTCTCAGCGCTCACAGCACTCCCTCCCTGTCCATGGAGGAGACAGGCAGGGAAGTAGGTGGCGTGACAAGTTCCACAACAGGGTGCTAGGAAACTGCCAAAAAGGGGACACTCACTTTGGCCTGGGCAGGCGGAGGTATGCTCTGGCACTTCATGGAAGAAGTGCCTTTTGAAGTGAGTCAAAGCTTCCCTAAGGGGTAGCTTTCCACGCAGAGGAATCAGCACAAGCGAAGCACAGAGGCGTGAGCAGCAGTGACTTGTTCCTAGCAGTGCGCCCTCGTGGTCCACTCAGATGGAGCGTCTGCACGGTGCTGCAGCAGCACGAGGATGGCCAAGGCTCAGGGGGTGTCTGCGGAGGCGTCGTGAGTGCCGTCCCTTTCTTTCCTCTTTCCTTTCTGAGAGGAGCGGGGGCCTGGGGGCCCAGATGTGACCAAGGTCAGCCTTTGAGCAGAAGTGTGCTGGGACTGTGTGGACGTGGGGACACCAAGGACTTTCTTCACCCAGCACATTGGCGAGGTTTCTTCTCACAAGTCCAAGGTCAGTAGGTAGTTTCATTCAGCATTGGAGAGGGAAATGATACCAAACTCCTTTTTCTCTCCAAAGGCGAGAGAGGGTGCCTCTGCCTTTTCTGTAACAGTAGGAGCCTGCACAGCCGGCCAAATCAGTCTGCCTGTCACAGTACTTGGCTTAGAGCATTCTGGCACCAGTTTCAGTTTCTGTAGTTATCACAGTGAGTGCAGCTTTTAGGTTTTCTCTAGAGACAGACAGAAGGTTCTGTGGCCCAATCTAGGGAGGCATGTGCCAGAGCCATCAGCAGCTTCACTGATCTGCAGCGTGGGGTTTAGAGAAAACTCTCAGTTCAAAGGCCAGGCTCCCTTGCCAATTGAAAGCCCATTTAATCTCCAATGTATCCCGCCGAATTTTTAAAAGGACCAAACTTAGGATCTGGGAACCAGGATTGGCAAGCCCGTAGTCACTGTAGTTCTGACGCTATAGCCGGGCTGTTGTGTTCCGAGAGGGAGGCCTGCCTGTTCATGGCCACATGGGCTCTGGTCCCACCACGAGCAGCCCTAGCTAGGCTTCGCTGGCTGGTGATGGTGTCTTCAAGTTCCATGGTCCGTGGGAAGCATAATAATTCCTCGTAAACTTTGGGAGGGCAGGTTACAGAGGAGAGAAGGAGAATGTTAGGACGCCAGATCCTGTCTGTGTTGAAGAAAAGGTGCTCTGGAGCTGGGGCAGATAAGAAACATCCAGGAAGTGCTTGTCGCATGAGTAGTTGTAACTCTGGGATACTGACGTGCAGTTTCTCCCAAGGGAAGACCTCTATCCACTGGAGAGGCTCTCCCGCCGGAGCCGGTGAGGTGCCGCAGTGGTCTGTCAGCGGCTTCCCCTCCCCCGTTTGTTCTCTTCTCATTAAATGGTGGTTGGTTAACAAGAGTGTTAACATTCTCACTTTTAGCTTTTCCTAGCAATTTCTTCAGGCTGTACTCAGAAAAGAAGAAAACAAATGATCTAGAAATAAAATGGTGTTGGTACTTCATGGCAGTGATTTCCAGTCCATGGGCTTCTTCAAACTGCACTCCCGATCTCCCTCAATGTTCTGCTAGTGAATCGGGGCTCCTGGTGGGAGTGCGGAGGGCCTTCTGGTGTGCTGAGGTGGGAGCAAGTTCACAAATCACAGCTTCCCCGAATCTGTGAGACACGCCCGTCCAGGGGTCGGGGTCCCCAGGAAGATTGGCTCAGGTCAGAGCACACGGCCTGTGGTTCCGGCCCGCGCTTCCTGTGGGCACCGGGGGTGCGATCCAGGCACAGGACACCAGAAACGGCCGGTCTCTGAAGAGGGCATCTGCCCACCTGCAAGTCTGTCCCTGATGTTGCCATCGTCCCCTGCTGAAAGCCAGAGCTGAGGAAAGGAGTATGTGGGGAGTAGCAGCAGTGACAGTGCTGGCAGGTCGAGCTCATCCAGGGAGAATACTATTGGCAATACTTTTAATCCCCGAAGGAATCGAGAGGGTCACACGCGTGCAGTCAGCCTGGCATAGGACGGTGTTCGTCTAAGGGACTGCAGCTCTCAGCAAGGGCAGCGGGGCCAGGAGTCCTCATGCGTCCACACAAACAGTGTACAACACCGTACTTCTTACAAATTTTGGCCTTTAAAAAGTTACCCTTTGCAGAATTATCATAGGGTAGAAAACTAGCAGACTTGGTACTAGAAACTTTTTTCTTAATAGTCCAAAACTACCCTCCGTTTTTGCCTTTTTTCCTTTCCTTCTTTTACCTACTATTTTTCCTTTCCTTGCCCCTTAAATGGTGTCTCCCTCTCCACCCTGACTGGCATCGCAGAACACACAGGCGGGAGCGACAAGGGCGGCACAGGAACTGCTTGCCCAGTGGGGGAGGGACTGCGGTCTTAGGTGCCGGCCTCTAAGATATTAATTGGAACTCCTGGAGCAGCCACCCAGGAAGTCCTAGAACCTTGAATTTCTTTATTTTATTTTCTTATTTTTGCTTTTTAAATTTTTATTTTTTTTAAGTTTTAAAAATATTGTTTATGCTATTACAGTTGTCCCAATTTTTCCCTGTGCTACCCTCCACCCAACGCCCCCCGCCACTGCCTCAAACAGTTCCACACCTTTGTCCATATCCGTGGGCCACGCATTTCTTGTTGACCCTCTAGCCCTTGACGTTTCCGAATGGTCCCGTTCTGACTACTGCTCTGTGGTGGGGTGTCTTCTCCCCTTCGCCATAAGCTGCTACCGCACCGCAGCACCGGGCAGGCTTTTGTAGCTCAGGAGACTGGCCTTCCTACAATAAAGATCCTTTGGTGCACCCTGAGTGCACACAGGGCTGGGTTTGAGGGGGCCATGCCAGAGTGAGAGGCCCAGGGGTGACCTTTGCTTACCTGTGTGTGGAGTCTGGAACTCTGGCGAGCGCTAAGCCCACCCCACCGACGTTGTACTAAGGACAAGACCAGTACTTGCTCAGGCCTGCCCCGCTGGCTGGAGAGAAGGCCCGGGAGGAACAGGAGCACACGCTGGAGCTGCAGCGGAAGTGAGCGTGAGCAGCCGGTCACCGGGGGGTCCAGCAGAGGGCCTGCAGAACTTCAGACCCCTTGTTGCTGTTTTCCACAGAAGTTTCTCCTGGCTTTTTGTTTTTGTTTTTGGTAATGATAAAACGGAGTTACCCCAGCACGTGGGTGTGTATTATACACAGCAAAATAGGAGTTACCCCAGCACGTGGGTGTGTATTATACACAGCAAATACGGTGCATCCAGAAACTTCTCACTGTGGAGGAAAGACCACTCCTGTGAGTACAGGATAGTGTCGCTAACCAAAGCGGCTTTGCCTTGAGAGTTTCTCGGTTCCTGCACTTAGCACTAAATGTACACTGGAGCAAGCTCAGACAAATTGGTGTTCTAGATTTCCATGAATTAGTCACAGAAATCTTTCTTCTCTTTTTTGCCCTCCCCATAGTATTAGGCACTTCACCATTGAGGCTTCTCTGCATCGGCTGGATATATATCTTGTCCAAGTGCATTTTACTATGGTTTTTTTTTTTTTTAATTTTATTTAGTTATTTTTCAAGTACAGTTTTTTGTCTATTTTTCCCATCCCAGCCTCCCCCGCCCCCTTGCTCCCCACCTCCCTCCCAATTCCACCCCCCTTAGTTCTCGTCCCTGTGTCCTTCCTATTTGTTCCTCCAAATCCCTCCCCCTTTTTCCCCTTAACTTCCCTTCCTTCTCCCCTCTGGTCACTATCCCCTTGTTCTCTATTTCAGTGTCTTTGTTTTTTGTTTTTTGTGGTTTTTTTTTCCTGCTTGCTTGTTTGTTTTGTTGTTTAGCTTCCTATTAAAGGTGAGATCATATGGTATTTGTCTTTCAGCTCCTGGCCTATTTCACTCAGCATAATGCTTTCCAGTTCCATCCATGTTGTTGCAAAGGGTAGTAGCTCCTTCTTTCTCTCTGCAGCATAGAATTCCATTGTGTATATGTACCACAATTTTTGGATCCATTCATTTACTGATGGGCACCTAAGTTGCTTCCAACTCTTGGCTATTGTAAATTGTGCTGCTGTGAACATTGTGGTGCATAGGTTCTTTGATATTGATGTTTTAGGATTCTTAGGATATAATCCCAGCAGTGCAATTGCTGGGTCAAAAGGCAGGTCGATTTTTATTTTTCTGAGAAATTTCCATACTGTTTTCCATAATGGTTGTACCAGTCTGCAATCCCACCAACAGTGAACTAAGGACCCCTTTTCCCCACAACCTCTCCAACATTTGTTGTTTGTTGCTTTATTTATGATAGCCATTCTGACTGGTGTAAAGTGGTATCTCATTGTGGTTTTAATTTGCATCTCTCTGATTTTACTATGGTTTTTAAGAAACCCAGTAGGACTAGACATGCTCCTATTTCTGGTTAGGGTTTCTGTTTGAACTGCTTTCTGCCTTCCTATACTGGAGAGTGTAGACCTTTTTTTACCCTTGGCCCATGAAACATAAAGCAGAACCAACCCCAAAGAAACAGCTCCTTGCTTCCTTTCCCTGGGCCTTTCCGTTTTCTCAGTACCCACTTAGTGTCGGGTGCTGGGGAATAAGAGTGGGCGGGGCGTGCACAAGCCCTGCCCTCGTGGAATTTTCAGTCCGGGCGCAGGGCCTGGGCTGGGTGTGGGAACACGCCACACTGGGAGGTGAAAGGTGCTATGGCAAAGGCCGATGGCAGGCAGGGGAGTGAAGGGAGGTGGGTGCATAGGTAGAAAGGCCAAAAAAGCAAGAAAGCAGGAGGGGTTTGGGGCTGAGAAAAGTACAGAGGGACGGGGTTGTAGGTGCCAGGGAACGTGTTGGGCAGTGAGTCTGGAAAGCAAGCAGAAGTGGATTGTGAAGTCTTCCAGACAGTGTGGAACATTTAGCCTGGGGGCTGTGGGGAAACTATACAAGGTCTTAGAGATGTGCCTATTCATGTTTAGATTTTTCTGGGTAGGTCAGTGGGGCTGCAGTGCAGGTAAATGGTGATGGGAACAAGAATAGAGGCAGCAGCCCTGGTCAGGCGCAATGGCTGGGTTAGAGAAAAAGCAATGGGGATGGAGGGTGGGTGGGCATGAGCAGGGGTTTAGAGTGTAGAGTCTACAAGTGTGCAGAGCCGGTTTGCTGTGAGGATCAAGGGAGCACGGAGCTGCGGATCACTCCTGGTTTCTGTCAGGCAGCTGGTCGGTGATGGTGCGTTCACTGAAATTCGGAGCAGGTTGTCAGGGAGATAAGTTTGGTTTTAGACTAAAGTTATGTAGACTAAGGTAAGTTGAGAGCACCTAATGGCATTTAAATATGTGGACCTGGAGCACAGAAAGTACTAGATATGGGGATCCTCTCTGGGTAGTAAGAGCCAAGGTCAAGTCTGTGTCCTGGAGAAACACAGACACCAAAGGGACGGGTAGTGGAAGGGGAGTACTCGGCAGACTGGGAGGAGTGGCCGAGGAGAGACGGAGAGAGGGAAGTGTGGACAGGTGACAGAGGACGTCAGGTTGGTGTGCTTTGAGCCTTCCTGACCACAGCCTTGTCTGCTGTAGCCCCCATTACATTCCAGACACCTCCCTGTTTATTGCTTTCAGATACTTACGAGAATGAAATTGTGTTGGTTACTGTGTGTTCTTGCCCCTCAATTTGTAAACTTGAGGGCAGGGGTTTTAGCTTATTGAGTGCAGGGTTCTCAGGGCCTAGAAGACTGGTTGGCGGGTCTTCAGTAAGTGCACATTTGTGAGTGGTTATGGACAGGGGTTGGCGGTGCGAAATGCTGCTGCTAAGGATGACAGATTGCCCTTTGGATGTAGCAGATGTGCAGGACTTGATGACTTTACCTAGGACAGGTTGTGGGGGGTGGAGTCCGCAGCCAGTTTGCAGTGAATTGGAGAATGAGTAAGAGGTGAAGGAGGAGACAAGAGTAAAAATAGGCTAGTTCTTCAGGAAGTTTGGCTATGACTGTGGGCAGCAGCAATAGAGAAGGCTGTCGTTGGAGGAGGAAGTCAGGGTAAAGCAGTTTCTCGTTTAACTATTTTTTAAATTTATTGATTTGAGAGAGAGAGAAAGGGGAAAGAACGAGACACTGATTTTTGTTGTTCAATTTAGTTATGCATTCATTGGTGCTTTCTTGTATGTACCCTGACTGGGGATCAAACCTGCAGCCTTAGCATATTCGGATGATGTGACCTAATATGCTACCTAACTGAGCTACCCGGCCAGGGCTTATTTTTTTAAAGGCAGGAGAGAGTTGAGCGTGCTCGATTGCTGATTGGAAGGAGCCTGTAGAGAAGGAGATGCTGGGAAGCCAGATAGTAGATGGGACACAATTCCTAGGAAGGCAGGGAGGGGCGCGAATGCAGAGAGCACGGATGGAGGAATCGTCTTTAAAAGTAGGGGGTGCAGCCCCCGTTTCCAAGAGGAAAGAGAGTAATGTGGGAGGTTGGGCAAGGAAATTTGCTTGAGGGGAGTCACGGGAATTTCATTCTTGCGATTTCTGCGTTTTTCAGTGAGCTGTCAGGGGAAGCCCTTAGCTGAGAGGAAGGGAGCGGCCAGGCACGGTTCTCCCAGCTCACCAATACCACCGGCACGCCCCACCCTGGGGCGTCCCACCTCAGCCACCTCCCAGAAGTGGGAGAAAAGTAACTTCTGGGACCCTTTCAGCCCTACCAAAGTGTTGCAGACCTCAGTCTCAGGGAAGGGGACGATTTCCTTGGTGGCTTTATTGTGCCCCTAGTGTAGCCAGGATTCCTGCTTCTCCAGGATCGAGGAAGCAGAAGCTGTTGGAAAAGACTGGAGGCCAATAAGCAGCCCCTCTGCCCCCTCCCTCTCTGGATGTTGGAAGGACTCCCACCTCTCCTTATCATTCACTGTGGATGCAATTTCCTCTTTCCTTCAACATATATCTGTAGAGGGCCAGCTTTGTGTCAGTCATGTTTAGGTGCAAGGAATAGAAATAAAAGTGAAAATCTAATTAAAGTTAGATGTGATTGGTACTACAGAGAAAAACAGAGCAAGGAAGGGTCAGGAGTGATGGGGAGAGCTTCTGCATCTGGGGAACCAGCATCCCATGCAGAGGGAATAGGAAAGGGGAGCGTGCGTGGGGTGTTGGGTGAACAGCAGAGATGCCATTGTGGCTCCAGTAGAGTGAGTGGCCAGGAGAGGAGCAGGGGTGAGGTCAGAGGGCTGGGCCAGAGGCAGTGGGTGGGGCCTTCCAGGCCTTTGAAAGGACCTTGACTTTGACTCTTACTCTGGGAGAAGTGAGGAGCAGGTTTTGAGCAGAGTGACATGATCTGACCTCTGTTTTTTCTTTGCTGTGGCTGCCATGTGAGGAAGGGACTGAGGGTGGCTGTGGGGAGGCCGGAGAAGGGGCACACAGGCTCCTCTTTCATTTCTCTCTCCTTTCTCTCCAAAGCCAAGAGACTGTTGTGAAGACAGTGCTTCAAGGGCCTTTGACAGACCGCCAGGCGGTGGAAGCTTGGGTGGCCTGGAGGGTCTCCACGCTCTGGCCTTGGGCTGTGCAGAGACAGCGTGAAGAGCCACGTGGGACAGAGTCTGAGTTCAGAAGTTCTCCATCACAAGCCTCCCGGGTGGCCACCAGTGTCTAAAGGGCGTGGTACACATTGCCCGGCGGCATCGGTGCCCGGCAGACTCTGCCTCACTCACTACATGTCGAGTGGTTATGTATTTCTGTTTGCGTTTTAAACTTGTTGTTTTCGTTGTTGTTGGTATCTCTGAAGCACCTCCGTGGACGTTTATCCTGGACAGCTTGAATGTACCCCTGTGGCTGCCCCTGAAGGTTAAGGCAGCCTCTATTTGAGAGGATGGAATACCTCTTTGTGAAAACAAGATGTCATTTACTGGAAATAAAATGCAAAATTTAATAGTTGCTCAGCTGGGCTCTGAAGTATTTGTCTTCCTTCCCTTCCAGCCCCCAGACAGTCTCACAGGTAAACACTGGCAGCTCATAAATTGCAACCAAGAAAGTGACTGTATCAGACGATAGACTCAAGTGAATGTCAGCCTTGGAAGCCAAGCCCAAGGTCATGGCCATAGCAGATAGGCTCTGTTAAGCCCCTGACCATTGCGTTTCCTGTGCATCCCGAAGGTAGGTCACTGCTTACCTGGTTTCAGGATGAGTGAATTCCCTTCTTCAGCCGGGGTGTGGAAGTAGTTTCCAGGTCTGTTTTACCCAATGTCGGAAAACACAGGAAATAATTTTGTGTGTGTGCTTTTTTAAAAAAATTGTAAGTCATCTCTCTTGCTACCTCCTAAACAGAAAGAAAACTAGTTTGGGAGATAGAAGTTGGGGGAAACCCGTGGTGGTCTCAGTTACCAGTGACGAGGTTGAGGGACAGCACAGGGGGTTGGAGCGCAGTCTTTTCAAACAAGCCCTCTGGCAGGACTGGGAACCATACTGTGTCATTCAGTGATTTGCTTCTAGGTGGGAAATATTTTTCCTTTACCTTTTAACTCTGACCTGGAGAATCATTCTTTGTAGTTTTCATAAAGGATTCGAAGCTATTGACTCGCCAACTTTTTAGGGATGGTTGGTTTTTTCCTTTGTAGAACATACTGTGAAATTGTGATTCTGGAGTCTTGAGGCTTCATCTCCATCTTTCTTACCATGTGTACTAACTGAATACTGGCCTGGTCAAGGACGAAGTAAGTAGACCCCAAAAAACAGTCCTTTAAAAATATCTATCATAACCATGTCAGAAAAATGCTGGGGAAACAAAGTAAAGATTATTACCATCTTGGTGCAGTAATCACTGCAACTTGGTGCAGTAAACAACATGTGTTGTTTCTATGACTGCACGAGCACACAGGAAGTTTCCTTACTCATTATCTGTAAGTTCGTATATCATAACCACTTTTAGAAGAATACAAATACACATTTTTAAAAATTTTATAAGAATTTATTTAAGCCAAACTGACCAAATAGGCCGGGGAGCAAGATCTCAAATACTCCCCAGATACACATTTTTTAAAACTAGGTAATATGGTCGCATGGTTTGGAATCCAAAGGTGCAAGAGGACCTCATGTGAAAAGCCTGTCGATCTGGTCCCCAGGGACCACTACCCTGCACAGGGGCAGTGAGTGTTCCCTGCTCCCCGTGTGTCCTTCTGGAGATCTTCTCTGTGTACATAAGCAGAGACACACATGTGTGGTCTTTCCTTTCTTTGGTCCAAGTGGTTAAAAACTCTGCCCTGTACACTATTTGGTGGTGGCTCCATGTCAGTACACAAGGAACCTCCTCCTCATTGCAGCTGCCAGTTGCTCCTTTGTGTGTTGGGACCTAGGTTGCTTCAACCCTTTTGCTTTTGCTCTTTTTTTTCATACAGTTCTCAAAGAAAATTCTATGAAATCTCAGAACATATACTTTTAAGTAAAACAAAAATAAATGACAAAACTTATATTAAACCCATAAAATAAAGAAAGGAAAAGGAAAATTTGGATATCCACATTCTGGGGTTCTGTATTTAAATCAAAGAGCCTCAAATCTGCTTCTTTAAAAAGTATTTATGGATATGACTTTTTCTAAGTGTTTGTCAGTAATGGTCTTGTAAGTGTGGCTCCATAATAACCTGTAATGTAACTATTTCCACCCGAAGGCCCGCCAACCTGTCCTGAAGTAGGAAGGAAGTCTCCCAGGCTCCCAAGTCCGTGAAACCCTCCAACGCACAACTGCAGTGGACCAGGGCAGGGCGTCCAGGGAAAAACCGGTCTGCGCCCAACCACCCACGGAAAACAGTGTGGCTGCCGCTTGTATGAATAGCCATTTACATTTTGACAAGATAAGGGCTTGAGAAAATTAACTTCAAAATACGTTTCATTGCCACTGAAATTCCTCACGACTTACATTGGGTGCTAGAAAACCAAACTGTGAAACCATGAGTTCTGTAATTATCAGATTAACTGGTTCTTATTTAACATTGTTCATTCTTTAAATATTTACATACATACTGCCCCACCAAGGTCCGAGGTCCTCACACTTGTGTCTCCTTGCCCCCATTGGTAGTGGCCGCAAGCCTCCGAGGTCCCATGGTGACTGGCACGAGCCACAGGACACCCGTACTGGGGCCTGGTGCATCCCACTTTTTATGGAACAGTGCTGCAGTGAACACTCTCGTATCAAGACATCCATCATCAGAGGAAGGATCCTCAAAGAAGAAACACCGTGACTCAGAGCCTGAAAGCCTTCCGCAGAGACGGACTTCGCAGCCCGGCCACACTCTCCCTGGATGGCCGGACACGGCGACTCGCGACCTCTTCCTTCAGAACACCACATTCCTCTCAAGTCTGCCATGGAGGTTAAGAAAGTGAGCTCTTAAATAGACTTCTTTTTTTAAGAAAAAAAAAATTAAAATTTAGACTACCGGGGTTTGCATCCCAACCCTGCCATTTGTTACTGTGACATTTGGGCAAATTATTCAACCTTTCTGAGCCTCGGTTTCTTCGTCTCTGGAACACCCTAGTGTGCTATTGTGAAGGCTTATATAATTTTTCCAGTCACTGCGCTGCTCGCAAACAGAAACTCGAGTGTTCTATTTTTAAAAGACACGAACCAAAAATTAACCCAAACTTTTGCATTATTTCTCTGAGCTACAGTATGTTCTTTCCCTGGAGAGATAACTGATATTAAGTATCATCTACATTTTGCTTGCCTAGGAAAATACATGGTAACTTTTCTGCCTTGCAGCACCAAACCACAGTATAGCTGAGCCCCACCACTGTGCAGACTGGCTCTAATTAGAGGCATGTTCGCTACAACAGGGCTCTGAGAAGCTGCTAAAGAGGGAATGTTTCAGATTCTGGCTTTATTAAGCAGATGAATGTAGCCAGCCAGCTCTGCGAATGCTTTAATGCTTTGCAGTGAGTGGCAGGTGTCCCACATGCATCTGATTACGTTAACCTAGAAAGGGCTCCCACTCTGCCTCCAGGCGAGCTTCATCCCAGCAGTCAGACTGCCAGGGCAGGGACTTTGCCCTTTGTGGGTTGGAGAGCTGGATACCCATCCTCTGTTCCTCTGATTAGAAGCTGCTGTTTTTATAAAAAGACCTAAATACCTTCATTATCTTCAGCCCTTCTCATTTACTACTTTTTCTTTCTGCGTGAACAACAATTCAGGCAGTCAGCGTAGCTGCCTGGGACGTGCAGCTCCTCCCATCTGCCTTCTGGCTTTTACAGCCTGGCTCCACAGAGAATCTACCCTTAGATATAAGAATATCGAAGGATAACCTAGGAACTCAGTGGCGCCCCAGGTTTAAGACAAGGAACTTGCACTGGGGTACTAACCTACGAAGCTTAGGAGAATCCTGGAATTACTGTCCTTGACCCAGAAGCGCAGGCTTGTTCACAGGTGCAGGGCCTGACTTGAGCAGCCTGTGCCACTGGTTACAGCAGCCCAAGGGCTTGCTCTCCTGAACACCACTTAGTTTCTTTCAAAGAAAGAACACCTCCCACGTGCTCAACTCCTTCTGATTTTCCCATAAATGGGAATTCAGGCAATAGGAGTCAGGACTCCTGGGGAAAAGATGGAGCCTTCTGTGATGGGAAATAATGAACTGTTCTGTGCTGCTGATTTTGCAGTGTAGAAGAGCATATGAACCCTGAGAAAGGGCTGGGCCTGTAGTGGGTACTCAATGAATACTCAGGTTCAGCATCCCCAAACAGTGCCCACCAAGGGTTATCTGACTTCATTAATCTCTAAGTGACATTTTCTGCTTGCTGTGGCTTTAGCAAAGTCTAACCCAGATTCCCACCTCGGATCCGATTTCCAGACCCACTGTCCCTGCTGCTGCACTTCCCTTTGGGTCTGTGGATACTTTAATCTGGTTTGACTTTTTTTGTCATATAGTGGCCAAATTCAGAATTCTAGATGTTTCCGTTAAATTCAATTCAGCAATAGTTTTTGAATGCCCATTCTTTTTGTCTTTTTTTTTAGATTTTATTTATTATTTTTAGAGAGAGGGGAAGGGAGAAAGAGGAAGAAAAACATCAGTATGCGGTTGCCTCTCACATTCCCCCTACTGGAGACCTGGCCCACAACCCAGGTATGTGCCCTGACTGGGATCGAACTGGTGGTTCTTTGGTTCTCAGGCCAGCACTCAATCCACTGAGCCACACCAACTAGAGCTGGATGCCGTTCTTTACTAGGTGTTTAGGGTATGGCACCTCACAAAGCAAAAAAGGTGTTAAACCTACATTCTACTAAAGGTTTGAAAGATCAAAAGCTTTCCACAGAGATTTTATTAGGTTCTGTGGGAGTGGTTTAGCAGTGTGCCTGCACATTCACGAACTCCAGGCAGAGAGCTGCAGGCTATATGGGGGCCACACTGAGACACAAAGCTGGCATTTCACAACTCTAGCACCTGGGTCGCCAGAGCCTTCTTGGTTTGCTGCTCCTTTTACCTCCCCTTAGGATGTAGGGACCAGGTGTTTGAAGATCAAGCTCTCCTGGGCCTCTACCCGGCTCCAGCCAGGGGCCTTCAAATCATCTCTGAGATAAATCTGGGCCTTCAGCATG